TAAGTGGAACCCACGATGCCTTTTACAATGACAAGCACCCTCCTTCTCCGAATAACTAAATAATCAGCTTTTATTATGGTCGAAGAGAGTGGAACCGACCCTAAATACTATTTTTAATAGTTTCAACACCTTTTGACATATATTTTTAGGTAAAAAAATCAAAAATCATGATACCCTCTTTATTTTTTATAAACTATTATAAAATATATATATATATATATATATATATATATATATATATATATATATATATATATATATATATATATTATTTTTATATGAAATAATATTAAAAATAAATGTATGGTTATGTTTGGAATATTTGAAGTATGTTAGATACACCATTGTGTATCGAATCCAAAAGTGGTCAAAGACCTTGGGTATTTTAAAATGAAATAAGACTGATTGATTAATGCTCTATGATGGAGCTAGAAGGACGAGCTTGGATTTTAATTTCAATGATTTATCCGGGATGAGTGCTTGCTTCGGTGTCCATATGTGAAAATAATTATTATGTTTGTGTTGGATGATATAATTGATCCGATGTGTTGAGTGCAATATTTTGATTATGTGATACTTTTGTCCAATGCATGATTTAAATGATTTCTATTTGATTGAAATGAAATAATCAATGGCTTTCCACCTATGTGAATGGAGACACAAATGGCTTCTAAAGTTCTTTAGTTATTTTTTGTTCGATTGAAATGAAGTTGTCAGTGGCTTCCCACCCATATGTACAAAACTCGTCGTTGGCTTTCAAAGTTGTTTAGCTATTTTTCGTTTAATTAAAACAAAGTTATCAATGGCTTTCCACTTATGTGGATGAAACTATCGAGTGGTTTCTAAACATTTTTAAACGACTTGTTGTTCATCAAATTGAAGTCAACGATGGCCTTCCACTTGTGTGGATGAAATCATTGATTGCTTTCTAAACTCAAGATTTAAAGTCATCGGTAGCTTTCCACTCGTATGAGCGAAGTAATTGGTGACTTTCTATTCATGTCAATATGGGCTTCCAATCCTTATAGACTCATTTATATGTTGATATAGGTTTATAGTTGCTAGAAAATAGCCAAAATTCTAAGTTATATCTCTATTTCACCTTAGAGTATGGATTTAGACCTTTAACTAGCCTCGAATCTCAAATTACTCGATTGATTTACCCTTATAAAACAAATTCACTCGAGTAGGCATAGAAACATAACAAAGCAAAATCAAACTTTTATTTTCACATACAATACACCCTATCTCAAGTACGACGGGATGATGATGATGTTAATCTTCTTCATATATAACTGATCCATTATCCATATATCTATATAGATTAGTTTTTTTTTTAAGTTTTCCTAATTCCTCCTTCTTCCTTTGATAGCTAGGTGGTGACTTAGCCTTTTTCACAACCCCCATCGATAAAGGTAAAGTATACTCTTGGACTAAATTCTTTCCTATATGATTATTTCCTCATATTTCATTTTTATTTTTATACATTTAATTCTTAGTTTACGTAAAGTAACCTCTCCCTCCCTTCTTAATTTAGTCAACGATCGACTTAAACGTACCACTATTATAATAGTCAAAGTTTAATTAATTAATTTTATGGTGTTACGATAAGCTACCAGTCACTATCCTCACTCTCGAACCTCGAGCTAGAGGAATATTTACCATCACTTTCTAAAGAAAAGGATTCAGATGATATAAAAAGATCCTTCTTTATCCTTTTTTACTCCTGCAGAAAAAGAAACAGCTCCCGAAACTACCCTTACAAGAACCCAATCAAGAATCAATTTGACAAAGCAAAATGAACCAAAAAAAAAGGTGCACTACCCTGAGCATTCGGGTTAACTACATCTCCTTCACCAAATGAGTAATCTTATACTCTTTTTCTTTTGCCTACAAGGATTTAAAAATAAAGAGCTCATCAAGACTCAAAAAAGGACTATTATAATCACTATGGGAGGGAACACATAAATGGGAACAACTCCATAAATCAAACTACCTATTCAGTGGCTCCTCACTAGGGCAACACGCTATAACCCAATCCCTTCTCTAGTCCTTCACGTGATCCTCTTTTACCCCTAAAACCTCTTTCAAAACACTGAACTTTCGGGGAGAGAGAGTGTAAAACCAACGATCATTCTTTCAACCTCTCCTGCTTTCAGATAACAAAAACCAAGCTCTAAACAATCATACAAAATGCATGACATTACGCATGTCCAAAAGACGACAAAAATCCATCATTGTTTCCCACCTGTTTGAATGAAGCTAACTGGAACATAGCTAATATGACATAACAAGTCCCTCACAAAACCTTTTAAAGGATAAGAAATGTCATACTTGAACATGCACGTCAAAGTGTGGACATCCGAAGGCCCCTACCTACGCCCAAAAGGCTGCCCACTTGTTATATCCTCTGGAGGAGGAACAAAAGCCCTAAAGTTGGGGCTCAACTATCTATTAATAAACTCCATTTTTTGGATGCTCACCCTACTAGGATAATCGTTTGTACAACGATCAGAAAGAGGCTCAAGCATCTCCTTAGGATCCTCCAAAACCACCATCTCCTCCTCAGGAAAATCAGGCCTACCATTGAGGGAGGTGCCAGAACTAGATCCAACACGCTCAGGATCAACCCTTTTTAAACAAAAGTACTGACAGAAGGAACGACAAGGTTACTTGATGGGATACAACCGTCGTATAATCAAGAATGATAAACAAAGCCTTCCCTAGAGTGTTAAGAGAGAATCACTGAATAATTTAGCAAGAAGCAGAAAAGAGGTAAGAGTAGAGAAATAAAAAAAAAGCCCTAAGAATATTTATACAGATGCCTATCAGGACTCTCTCCACCAAAAATATATATATATATATATATTTAGTGTCACCAAGGCAACGAATCGTCAAAAATCTAGATTAAAGGTCGATGCATGCGCAATAATGATAGCAATAAATCATCTGTCATTTGAAATTTCAAAACAACAAGAATCTCATAGACATGACACGCATCGCTAATCAGGTTGCTCCAAAAATTGCATTACTCTTCATGAGATCAAGAAGCAAAAACGATGCAACGATAACTCCAAATTTTGGAGAGAACAAACTGTTCTACTCAAACCTCGTAGAAGAAAGGACCCCGAAGCATGACTAAGTCTTCGCCAGAACAATCCACCAGAGACTTCGAGAGGAACTGATATACCAAGAAATAATGGGTCATCCAAATGTTAGCCCAATACAAGTTATAATCCCTTAGTTAATCATCTAGCCCAACAACAAGACATTCAGGAAACATCCTTTGCTCAGACGATCACGACCGGGATAGCCCTGCATCATCACGAACACTATACCCCACTAGACAAAGAGCACCAGGATCGAAGAAGACAGGCCTCTCTTGCAAATTACAAGAAACCTCAATGACTAATGATCACACAATAAGATCACAAACAGTCCCATCAAAAGGGCTAGTCCCCTCAATGACAGGCACCCCTACAAATAAGTGGCTAGAACAACTACAAGTGGTTTTGCTTCCCTCTCTATTCTAACAAAATAATTGCTATATGTATTCTCCATCTCATATAGATAAACACTCGTCACAAGCCTACTCAGGCACATACAATAGATATTACCATATATCGTTATCGCACATCAGTGGAGGGAAAAACTCATCCAACCATTCATTCTACCAAGAGTATATAACCTTATCACCTTACATCTTGAGCTAACTCTAGACAAAGAATTCTAAAGGAAACAAATTTTTTATGCAAATTTTTTGGTATAACATAAGATTTTATGCTCAACAAAGTGCATCTTCAGATATAATGTCCTTTTTTTTTTTTTTTTTGATAACACGGGTGTCCGGCCAACTTACGCGCACCTCGACTAATCCCGCAAACCCCGAAGTTAACGATCATATAAGCCTCCAGTGCGCCACCAAGAGATGCAATCAAGACTCGAACCCGAGACCACAAGGAGAGTAAACCCCTTGGTACCAAATCATTGCCGTTGCGTCACCCCTTGTATTTGTTCTTTAGAGGGGTGAGTGGCTTGGATGATTTTGCCTTGCATAGTGTTGAAAATAATACGAGCTTTGCATATATGGCCAGAACTTTCCTAACCAGTCTTCAGCCCATCATCTGTGATAAAGGTTCATTTATGTCAAAAAAAACATAAATATATCTCAACTTAAAACTTTAAACTTTTAAATACAATTTTAGAATATGAGTATGCAATTTATTGTCACGGATCCTTGGGTTTAGAAACAAAAGCCGATTTAGAGATACGATTGATAGTTTGTGTTGACACACACTGCAGACGTTGCTGTTGGCAAGGCTTAGAGGAGCTGGTAGACCAGAATCTCTAGTGTCGAAATGGCTCTCTTTTTAAGAAGATTGCAGCTCCTATGAAAACTCGTCTTCAAAACTCATTGACATGCAAAAATTTAGTTCAAGCTCCTACCCGAGCAGTAAAGCTGGAACGCTTGAAATTCTGTAGCTTTGTTGTGTATTGCCATATTAAATTTGTGCATTTGTTTGACAAAATACAACGACGAAATATTTTAAATCTCGAAAACTTGATTTATTGTTCACTGTATAGAAGGATTTAATTTTATTTGAAAAAAAAATTAATTACCAAGTCTTCTATAGATGGATTCTTTAAAAATTAAAAAATAAATAAATAAGCTATTTTAAGCCACATAATTCGATCTTTTTGACCAAATTAAAATATATCATGTTATTGTATGTGCTCTGGTCATTCAATACGTGCAACAAGGATGGAATGAAACAGACATCCATTCAAATGTCCAAGAAGGGATCCAGAAGCAGGACACAAATAGGGTAATTTTTCCATATGCTTATTTTATTAATACGGCATGAAGAAAAAACAAACAAACTTGATAACACAGAATCGGAAAAACGGAAGCATTTGATCACAAATGGCAGTCACTAATTATCGGACACTGACAAAATTGCAAATGGATCTGATGTTCTTGACAGACACTGAACACCCAATTATGCACTTTCCTTTGCCTGTTTCCGAGCTGCTTCCCGCATTACTGCTTTGACATAAATTTCATAGCAACAGCCTGAAACAAAAACATAGTATAAGAGCATATGGGAGTACTAGCAGTTGTAACAGAGAAGGCATTGGTAGAAGATTGTAATTCCTGGTGAGATAATCTATACTGTGCAGACGATGTCAGGTTCAATTTAAGCAAATACCATTATTCAAAAACTTTTGAAGTTTTTTTTTTTTTTTTTTTTTTGGTTGATTAAAGTGCCTGCTTCCAACTAAATCCACTAGCAAAGTACAGGAAAGTTCAAGAAAATAATAATAATAACAACAAAGATAGCACGACAAGACACTAAACTAAGTCATTAGTGTATCAGATTACACCTTTGGTCATCATGATATGAAATATTGTGGCATATTTGAGCATCAAACCAAGTTGAAGGCTTCGTTATTGCTGCTTAAAGTTGTGATAATCAGTTCCACAGGTAAAAGAACATGCATGTTATCACTAACACGAATAAAAACTCAAGCCATCTTACCTCTTGTCTAAATGTGCTCTTCAGACAATTAATAACCATTTCAATTAACAATGACATTCACATGCAAAATGTTTTGACACCCACATTTTGTCCAATTCTATACCCTCCCAATATTTTAATTTCCTTAGTCTAATTCTTGCAGTGCACCTAAGAACCCACTAATGAGGTTAAACCAATCCCAACAAATGTTTTATAAAGTTTTGTACCAAAACAATTTTTAAGAATTGTATGCAATTTTCTTCCACTTATACAAAAGCCATCAACATACCTGCTACAACAACAAGTGTCAGAGCATCTCCAACTCTTTTGAGTTTCCACACACTCTTCTTATATGATTTGAATCGCTTAAGAGCAGGGTCTTCAGCCAATAGCTGTAAGGTAAGCAACTTAGCAAATCAATCATAACTAAACCTCAGCAATCACATATTCACCACTGATTATTTAAATGTAGAATTGTCAACAGCTGTAAGGTAACATTGTAATTTTCATATCTAGAGAACTGCAGGAGATATTTTTCTAGTTTTACTGACTCTGTATATTTCCTACACTACGAAATTATGTTACAAATCAAAACTGATTGTAAAGAGCACCAGTTGCACATATCCAGCAGTGTATTAATGACTTTATAACTTTGTCATTTCCTAGACTATGAAATTACATTTCAAATCAAAACAGATTGTAAAGATCACCAGTTGCACATATCCAGCAGTGTATTAATGACCCCATAACCGTCATTTCCTAAGCTATGAAATTTTCTTCCCTAGACCATCAAATTAGGTTTCAAAACAGATTGTAAAGAGAAGCAGTTCTACATATCAAACAGCGATGCATGTGTCAATAATTAACAAAAACTTCCCGATTTTAAGTTAAAGAATTCTAGAGCAAGTCATTTAGCTTCTGTACTGTTATTTGAGAAAATTTATCCATCTTGCTTCCACTTGCTTCATTCAAATTTAATATGAAAGCATTCCTGTGCAATGCCTGCACAAGTTGCGGTACTTTTTTCAACACATTCCTCATATCAGATTCCTAGTTTTGAAGGGAAGCATCATGAATACTGAAGTTCAACAAGAATTATAGAATTTGATGGAAGAAAGATACAACGAAAAAGCATAAAAATGAGACAGACTCATAATGGATAATAACATGCGAAAAAGAATACAAGGCAAATTGTGAAGGAGAATGCTAGGCATTAAGTAGAATCCCGAAAATAGCAGGCAAATATATCCAAGAACAATTATAGTTAAAAAGGCAATACATGAATGGCAATCTTTTGAGTTTCAAGGATTAGAAATGTAATCTCTGTAAAAATGCAGACATTATGGAGAGAATTTGAAATCAATGAAAGACAATTAACTTGTGGGAAATTCTTTATGATTGGCTGCTAAATTATTGACCACGTAAAGAGCTGTGGTAATAGTCCTTGAGAAGAATGTTGTTGAAGAAGTCCTTGAAATTGTCCGCAGAAACTTGAACATAATGTTGCTGCAGTTGAGAAGATGACAGACATCGGCTTCTAACATATAAACTAACGGATTTATCTCTCAGCAGATGAGCAGAAAAGTGTAATGTACTACAGATCGGTGCAGGCATTTTAAACCAAAATCACAAGGCTAGCTAGTTGTAACAAGTTATTTGCAACAGCCAGGATAAGGAAACAATTATACCTGCTTCACTGACTGAATCTAAAAGAACAATTCTTGCTTTTGACAACTAATTTGAATGTCAAGTATTTTAACATGATGTTACATCAGCTTCCAGAGGACTAGAAGAAATTTAAGCAATTCAGCCTTAAGGTTACATTGTGAAAGGAAATGAAGAGAATGTTTAAAGGCTATGCCAGCCTCTTCCAGCTTAAGACAAGCCCCAAGAGCCTGGAACAATAAATCAATTCCTAGTTTCACCCTTAAGGATTTGAAAGAAACTCAACCGGACCCATGACCTTATGTAAAGGAAAGAAGAATGGATTTTTGGTAGTTTGCATTTAAATACAATTAATCTATACTGGCATTAGCTCTAAAGTGACAGAAATTTAAAAGATGCATGCAATATAAGAGCATTAGATGACATATTTATTATGAATGGTGTATTTTCTTGCAGTTCAGGGAGAAAAAAATGGTAGGCTTTATTCTTCAGCAAAAAGCACTTTAGATGTTTTCCCAGAAAAATCAAATGAAAAAGTGCAAATGGCAATGTCTATGGCTCTCATTCAGAAGTTAGTGAAAGATGATAGGAAACAAGATTAATCCAAAAGTATATCGAATCCATGTTGGCTGTTATATATTTATCTCAAGAATTACACAACTTGACTTGACTCGACGGGTTGCATTCTGTAATTACAAATTCTAGATTTATGAAAAAAAAAAAAAAAAGCAGGCAGAAAACTGGCTGATTTGACTAATAAAAGTGCAAAATCATGACGGGGGACATGAATAATTATTAAAAAGAAAGAGGGAAGCAAAATCGATGGTTTATCATTCAGATAAGAAGAAAGTATCATCAGCATCTCATCAATAGAACTAACTAGTTAAAAACAACAGAAAACCTTAAACCTGGGATGCAAAAAACGAGTATTAAACAAAATAATAAAAAAAATGGAATCTAATTGATGATGTTAGAAGAGAGAGAGACTGACAGCTTGCTCGCGAGGACCAGGTTCGACATGGAATCCGCGACGCGAAATAGAGAGTGCGCCCTGTGTGTTCTGTACAGCAAACAAATCAATTCAAAAGGGAGATAATCAAGTAGAGAAATACAGCTAAAACCCAAATAAAAAAATAAAAAAAAAGACCTGAGATTGAGATCGGAAGTGTGAAGAAATGGAGGAATTCGTCAGTAGAAAAGCCATCTTTTATTTTTGTCTCTTTTTCTTTTTCAGTTGAGGAATGAGAGAGAGACGGGGGACTAGTAATTGCAAATTTTTTTCCTTCTTGGTTCAGCAGCAACCAGGAGAAACGGGTCCACCACCCAAATCTACTATGATTGACATGTCGTTTACATCAAAGTTGGAATAGTAGACGATTCGAACTGTTGTCGAATCATGAATCCCAATGAAGGGATTTCTTCCTTTTAAATTTTTTTAATTTCATTTGATTTCCAACTCCTTACCAATAACCCCAAGGATCTAATAAATGGTGTAGGGTATGAAATGGAAGATGAATGAAATGCAGATTGATAAATGGACGGCAGAGCTGACCACGAGAGATACGGATGAACAAAAGAAATAGAAGAACAAAAGAAATAAAAGAACTTTAAATTAAAATAGAAATAAAACTAAAATAAATGGGCGGCAGAGCCAACCACCGAATAAGATAAACGAAATGTAAGAAACTTTTATTTATTTACAAGAAAAGTACCTTACAACAGGAGAAGTTTTCGAATCTCGAAGGAACAGGATTACAAAGAGAAATCTTTCCTAGAGAATGTCCGAAAACTTAGAGAGATAAAATGTGCGAGAGAAAATTAAAACTTCGATTACAAATGAAATGAGCTTTCTTTATATAGAGAAAGCCGTCATGAATAGTACCATGAACGAGTACCTATGAATAGTAAAATTGTACGGTAAAAGTAAATAGTAATCTGCTACAGTTGTCTTCATGTGTTGATGAACGAGTAAGAAGCCGAAAGCAATTTGGTCTTCTTGTGTCACGTGAGATGAACGATGGATGAGCCTTGTGAAATTTTTGTTTCTAGAGATAACTCGTTTTGTCGACGGATAGGAAATGCCGGAATGTGCGAGTATTGTCATGGAGTTCACATGTGGTGAACTAGGGAAAAGATACCATAGCGAGTCGTCTTCGTTATTATTTCCCAAATCTAGTATGGGTTCGATGCGTAATCCGAAACCGCTTTTGTGAGGATTTTTGTCCGTTCTAAACAAGTTCATCCATGATAGCAAAATAAGCTTCATCATTATGAGCGGTTACAAATCCGGCATCAGCGGTAGATCTTGGAATGGAGGTTCCCGATTCTTGGATAGGGAGATTATCGGGAAAAAGGAATATGACCATGTTTTTGTAACCAACGGAAGAGAGAGGCTTGTGATAGAGAGGAAGGGATGTTGTAATGATCCCACCATTTGACTTTAAATCTTCTTGTCGCGATCAAAGTTTGTTCCCGATGACGGGAGTCATAATACCAAGACCGGACCCGGGGAACAAAGAATTTTGTACAAAAAAGGAAAACGGGAGACCATCTTTTCTCATGATCCGTAGGTATATAATTTGTTTTGAAGATTTTGAAGCTTTCGGAAACACTTGGTACAAGTATTTCGGGGACAGCTCCAAAAAGGACCATCACTGGGAAAACCACATGGGAATGCAATCGGGATTAATGGTTTTGTCAAAATGGATTAACCATGAATGATTACCTTTCTTATTTTGTAAGAGAAAAGTATTGAACCGAGCCTGCTGGTAATCCCAATAGGAAAAAACTGGCGAGGTCCGGAACGAGATTTGAAAGATTTAGGAAATGAAATTGGGTGAGATAGATCATGGGGAAATTTCCAATCGATGGAGGAATAATTTCAAGAATATGGCAAATAAAGTAGGTCGTTTCAGTTTTGTCCGGTGTTGGATAGTGTTTGAAGGTGGCGGATTCGAGATGGATAAGAATATCTTCATAGTACCATTGAGATTTGGTTAAATCCCAAGGCTTGTAATGCCAATTATAACCAAAATACTTTTCCACAGATCAAAGTCGGGTTTCCAAAAAGTATCCTTTTTCAATGGTGAAAATATTTTGTAAAGATGGTTTTAGGAAATACGTTGATTCAAATTTTTTGAAAATTGGTTTTATAGGAATGATTTGAGCTTTTTGTGAAGACGTTGTTAAACCCAAAAATTTTGTTTTTGAAATAGTAGTTACCGAAAAAGGCCCCAGGAAGGGTATTTCGGGGAATCGGAGATTCCGAAGAAAGGGGTTTTGGAGAGGAAGATCCTTTCTCCGATTTTTGAAAAATAGAGGAGAAGCCATACCTTAGATGTTTTGTAAGGCCAGCGAAGTTCGTGTCGCTTTGATAGTTTATTGACCCAAGTATTAATGGATTAGGTGTGCGTAGGAATATCCGGGTTTTTTGGTGAAGAAACACTAGCCCAATGATGATGGGTTTTGTGGAAGAGAAGGGGTTTGGGTTTTCTTGTTCGGAAAAAAGGGGTTTTTCCCTTTATCTTTCTTGGCCATCAAGCCCTGTTTTGCGTAAATTCTCTAGTCAAGAAATCAAGAATATAATTTTGTTCTCCTTTAATAAATTCAATGTCAAAATCAAAAATACTAAGGATTGCTTGCCAACGAGCAAAAATTTGTTTTGAAGCAATGTTTTGAACATCCTTTTGCAAAACTTCTTTAGCAGATTTACAATCAATACGAAGAGTAAATTTTTGATTGAGTAAATCACTTTAAAATTTTTGAATGCGCATGCCAATGCCGAGTATCTCTTTTTTAATAGTGGAATAATTCTTCCGACAATCATTCAAATAGGCAGAGGTGAACTCGGATAATTTTTTCTTGACCATCGGACACTTGTTTTAAAATCCCACCATATCCTAAGTCGGAGGCATCGGCTTTGACTATCTTAGGTAAGGAAGGATCTCGCTAAGTGAAGGCAAGGGATATTTGTAACCCGATTCTTGATCCGTTGCACTATGTAGGTGTGTTCATCAGTCCAAGGAACAGGTTTCTTCTTCAATCTATCATGCAAAGGTTTTGCAATACGGTTGATGTTTGGACGAAAATCTAAAACATAATTCGAACTTCCTAAGAACCTTTATAACTCGGGTTTTGTCTAGAATCTTATCGGGAAATTTGTTTACAAATTCTAAGGATCTTTCGATAGGAGAAATTGTTCATTGGGTAATGAAATGACCTAAGAAACAAATCCGAGTTTGGAATAAAGAAATCTTAGATTTAGAAACGACCAATCCATTCTTTTTTGCTATATGGAAGAAGGTTTTGAGATGCTTAAAATGTTGTTCTATAGACATAGAATAAATAAGCACACCATCAATATAAACAATGCGAAAATCAACATACATATGAAAAATATCATTCATAATCTTCCGGAATTCGAAGGAGCATTTTTCAATCCGAAAGGCATGACCTTCCATTCATACTGCCCAAACGAGACAAGTAAAGGTGGTTTTGTATCCGTCATTAGGGGTTATCCGGATTTGCCGAAACCCGACTTCATATCAAATTTTGAGAACACAAATGCATGATTTAATCTTTGTAAAAGGTCCTTTTTATTAGGGATAGGGTACCTAATCCATTTAAGGGCCTTGTTCAAAGGTTTGTAGTTGATGACTAACCTAGGGGTTCCTCTTTCGATCTCGGCATTTTTATTGACATAGAAAGCCGCACAAGACCAAGGAGATCCGGATTTTTGGATAAGACCTTTGGTTTCTAAATCTTGAATTTCTAACCTACAATGTTTTTCTAGGTCGGCATTCATCCGAATAGGTTTGGCTTTGGTAGGGATTTATCGGTCATCAAATCCTGTTTCATAGGGTAGGTCAACACTATGGTTTTTCCTATTCCGGAAAGCATTTGGCAAATCGAACAAATCTCTTTTTCAAACATGTGTTGAAAATTTAAAATTTTATTTTTTAGAAATTCATTCTGTAATTGTCCTTAGATTTTGTGTAAAGAAACATCATATTTCAAATGCATCAAATGTCGTTGTTTGTCGAAATCATAGCATTCAATTCAAAGTCGTAAATGGAACAAGCTTGGATGATGTTAAGATTTCTAGTTTTTGGTTTCTCAAGAAAAAGGAAAACAAGTGTTGTATTTCTATTTCTAAATGTTATGTAATCATGTTTCACGGAATAAGGAGTGATGAGATTAATGAAAGGTGTTCCTAAGATCACCATATGATGCATATTCTCAACAAGCAGAAAATGATTTTTTATAGCAATGCTACCATTGACCACGGAGGCTTCGTCTTACCATGTATGGTCATTTTAGAATTATTTGCTGCAGACATTCTGTATGTATATGGAATCGATTTGGAACAATGCTTTGCTTAATACAATTCAAATCAGCACCAGTATCAAACAAGGCAATTGTATCAATTTTGTAATCATTGTGGAATATAAGAGTAAACTTAATCAAATATTTCCTAGAAGTAATTTCATGAAGTACAAACAAGAAATCTTCTGGAACGTATTCTAGGTTTTTAAGGTTTTGTAATTCTTGGTCATTATCATGGTTTTTAGAGTCAAAGTCCGGCTCTTCGTCCGCTCGTTTTTCCAACGGGGTTTTCAAGAGTCCGGAGTCTCTATGTCGTTTTTCTTTGAGCTCTTTAAGCTCTGTTTTGATAACCTTAATCTCGGATCGAAGGTCCCGAATTGTGGTCATATGTTTTTTGGTCTTCTTCTTCCTATCTAGGATAGCAGTAAGGTCATACGTGCTAGTACTAGCATAAGGCAAGATAGAAGGTTTTGGTTTGCCATGAGGGTTTTCTTTTACGTACTTTAAGAGTCCGTCTATGTATTCTTTTTGTAATCGAGGATCATCAATCCTCTCGACAATGTCTAAAATGAGGTCTTGGTCTTTTGTTAAGACACCGGCATGTTTCGGTATTGTTCCTTTATCGGAGCAGTGATTATAGGTAATGGGGTTTTCCAATGGAACTTATTAATTTCGGGGACTGATTATGTCTCCGATTTTTGGTCTAAAACATTCACACTATTGGATAGAGGAGTATCGGGAGCTACATGCTTAGAGGTTCCCTCGAAGATATTCCTATCTTACTAAGTTGGTCTCTAATGGCTTTGGAAAATTCGGGTTTGTTTGTTTGTATCTCGGTTTTAACTCGATCTAGAAACCCGAAAGGGTTTGAAGATCGGG